CATCAACAGTCAGGGTGAGGGCTGATCAAGTCACCGTTTCTCATAGTGTTCATTTCACTTTAACAGGTTTCCTTTTTGGTGCTCAGTTAGTTGTCACCTATCAGGGAGAACAAGTGGTATTTGTCCCTTTGGGATTGGCTTATTTCACTCAGCATAATGTTTTCCAAATTCCTAGCAGGGATCACTTTTCAGTTAAAATTTAAACACCTAAGAATAATTGTGTGTTAATTACAGAGTTCAACCAATAGTACTAGAACAAAAAAAATACTAAAATGGATAAAGTATTACATTGTACATCAACCGTCAGGACAAGAGCTGATCAAGTCACTGTTTCTCATAGTGTCCATTGATCTCCGCGAATGAGATCCCAGTGGGAAGAACGGGTAATTAAAGAAGGAGGTACCTTTCTCTGAAGGGAGGAGAGAACTTCCACTTTGACCATGGCCTTGTCTAAATATGATCAGAGTCAGTGAACTCAGGGGGCTTCCATAGCCTTGGCAGCTCATGACAAGAGCCTAGGGTGATTACTGATTCCATAAACAAGAGTGTCAATTTGTAAAGTCAACAACAGGGGTCACTGTGCACTTACTCCTCATGTAGGATCTTTGTTCTTAGTGTGCTGTACATTGAGATTTAATGCTATAACTAGAACTCAAACAGTATATTTCACTTTATGTTTCTGTGTGGGAGCAAACTGTTGCAATCTTTACTTAATGTATGCTAAGCTGATCTTCTGCATATAAAGAGAATCGAAAATGAATCTTGATGTGAATGGAAGGGGAGAGGGAGTGGTAAAGGGGAGGGTTGTGGGTGGGAGGGACATTATTGGGGGGAAGCCATTGTAACCCATTAACTGTACTTTGGAAATTTATATTCATTAAATAAAAGTTAAAAAAACAAGAGAACCTTCAATATTTGTGTACGGCTTTTTTCAATCAATATAATATCCTCCAGTTGCATCCACTTTACTACAAATGACAAAGTTTCATTTTTTATAGCTGAATACTATTCCATTGTGTATATGCCACATTTTCTTTATCCATTCATCTGATGATGGACACCTTGGTTACTTCCAAATTTGGGCTATTGTGAACAGTGCTGTTATAAACATGGTGGTGCAGGTATCTCTTTGATACAATATGTTCCTGTCTTTTGGTTGTTTGCTTATTTGTTTCTCTGTGTGTCATATTTTAGCCATTCTGACAGGGGTGAGGCAATAACTCATTGTAGTTTTGAATTGTATTTCCCTGATGACAAGTGGTCTTGAGCATTTTCTCATATCTTCACTGGCCATTTGTACTTTTGAGACTGTCTAATGAGTTTCTTAACTGGAATGGTTGGTGTTTTGTTGTTGAGTTTAAGTTTCTGATATATTCAGGATATTAAGCCTTTGTCAGATTGGTGGTTTGCAAATATTTTCCCCAACTTGCAGTTGGTAAATAATTTAAGATATATTCATTATGTTCAGCATCTTACTAATTATGTTGATCAAATGTTATGTATCTTTACTTACAAGAGTGTAGAATGGAATCACTGGGGGAGGCATCAGATATTCTCAACTGTATATCAATAATACTCATAAATACACTAATTAGAATGTATTGGAAAATAGGCCGGCACCGCGGCTCAACAGGCTAATCCTCCGCCTAGCAGCGCCAGCACACCGGGTTCTAGTGCCGGTCAGGGCGCCGGATTCTGTCCCGGTTGCCCCTCTTCCAGGCCAGCTCTCTGCTATGGCCCGGGAGTGCAGTGGAGGATGGCCCAAGTGCTTGGGCCCTGCACCCCATGGGAGACCAGGAGAAGCACCTGGCTCCTGCCTTCGGATCAGCGCGGTGCGCCGGCTGCAGTGCGCCGGCTGCGGCGGCCATTGGAGGGTGAACCAACAGCAAAGGAAGACCTTTCTCTCTCTCTCTCTCTCTCTCTCTCTTACTGTCCACTCTGTCAAAAAAAAAAAAGAATGTATTGGAAAATAAAAATAGTTTCCAAAAGGACTCTATAAACCAGAGTAATACACAAGTAAGATTTTAAGTTCTTAAATACACTAATCACTCTTTGATCTGTGTCCTCTTTTAGTAATATCATTCAAATTATAAAACAAATACATTTAAAATTTTTCTGATAGATTAGGTTTTTAGATTCCACATTGATGTGCAGAATATTAAGGCATTAGGTGTTTGTTATAATAGATTGTTTTCTTTCCCTCCATTAGAGATGTCTTTGTCTTTTAAGAGATTTTTAGCCTTTCTGCTATCCTACAAGGTACTTTTCTAATATTTCAAAAGTTTTCTATAGTTGTGATACACATTCAAATTTATTAGAATACTCAAAAAAAATCCATTGTAGACTTTATGTCCAAAGATTTGGTTGGTTACTGGCCAATCTTTTGAAATCAGTTCCTATTCCCCGGAGAGTAATTTAGACATCCAAGTTTATAGCACAAGCTGGATAATAACACTACTCATAAGTCATGGAGCAGATCCTAGCCTCTCTTTAATTAAAACCTAACATTTAAAATCAGCAGACTGGGAATACAGGTTAATTTCTTAACATGTGCAATAAAAGCAAGCAATGTAATGTATAAAGAAATCTTTCCAGTAGAATCAATGTAAAAATTCAGGTTACTTCAAGGGTTTAATCAAGACATTTTGTTTATTTGCTCAAAGGAGCAGAAAATGTTTTCCTTTCCAAACACAATTTGTGGAACTAATTCAATTTTTTAGCTGAGAGGGATCTGGTAATCTGTTCATCAAAATGCACCCTTTGATACAACTAACCCTCTAAAAGCTTGTGATTGCTTTTGTCTATGTTCCCTATTAAAGAAATATCAAGAGTAAGTTTCCAATGTATTTCTGAACCCATTAGTATATCAGTTCCTTTTCTGATTACAGAGAGAAAGTCCTACAAATATTCATTAACTTAGAGCCTGGATACAAAGATTTATATGGAAGATTTACTTAGATGTTTACATTCTAAAAAACTTTCACTCAGTAACTTCTCTGGGAAAGAAATACATTTTTAATACTACAAATACAATTTAAAACCATAACACTGGTCTTAACTGATAACCTAATAGATTTGTTTGATATTCAAATGAAAATGTCAATGAAAAAAATTTGAAAGCATTTGGTGCAAAATACACTAAAAATATAGCATAAACTATGCATAAAATAATGATTAAGACAGAACTGTATCCAATTATTTTTGTTCAGTTTGTATGATGAAAGTGGATACTCTAATAACCCGCAAATAAAGGAAGTAATTAGCATGTAGTAGTAAAAAGATTGCTCTAAGACATTTAAAATCAATTTTACACAGAAATGTTAAATGTCTGGACAAAACAATGGATCGTAAATCGAAATACTTGGGTTCTAGGACCAACTTTGTCAGTACTAGTTTCATGAACATCACAAAACCTTCACCACTCTTGCTGAGAACTTCAATCACAGAAAGCATTTCTAGGATCTGTTCCAGCATACTTACCTCACAGGGCTTCAGTGAAACCAAGCAGAAATTAGTAAACAAAAATGGCTTTGAAAGTTAGAAGTTCTGAAATGTGAGTTCTTTTTTTTTTTTTTAAGATGTATTTATTTATTTGAAAGTCAGAGTTACACAGAGAAAGAAGGAGAGGCAGAGAGAGAGAGAGAGAGAGAGTTTTCCAACCGCTGGTTCACTCCCCTACTGGCCCCAACGCCCAGAGCTGTGCCAATCTGAAGCCAGGAGCCAGGAGCTTATTCCAGGTCTCCCATGCGGTTGCAGCGGCCCAAGGACTTGGGCCATCTTCTACTGCTTTCCCAGGCCATAGCAGAGAGCAGGGTCAGAAGAGGAGCACAGCCGGCGCTGCGGCTCACTAGGCTAATCCTCCGCCTTGCGGCGCCAGCACACCAGATTCTAGTCCCAGTCGGGGCGCCGGATTCTGTCCCGGTTGCCCCTCTTCCAGGCCAGCTCTCTGCTGTGGCCAGGGAGTGCAGTGGAGGATGGCTTGGGTCCTGCACCTCGTGGGAGACCAGGATAAGCACCTGGCTCCTGCCTTCTGATCAGCGCGGTGCGCCGGCCACAGCGGCCATTGGAGGGTGAACCAACGGCAAAAAGGAAGACCTTTCTCTCTGTCTTTCTCTCTCACTGTCCACTCTGCCTGTAGAAAAAAAAAAAAAAGAAAAGAAAAAAAAGAGGTGCAGCCGGGTCTTGAACCGGCACCCATATGGGATGCCAGCACTTTAGGCCAGGATGTTAACCCGCTGTGCCATAGCGCCGTACCCATGATCTCTTATTATATGGAAACTGTTCTTTATATTTCATTTTCAGTGTCAAGAAGGAAATAATATCAAACTGTAGTACAAAATTATGCTAAGGCAAAAAATTTGTCAAACTGCATATTGACAATTTATATTTTTCTCATGTGTGGTGAAATAAGGCAACAAATACACTGTTTTGTGTAATTTTCAGGCCAATCTAAATAGCATATATGTTCAATCAGTTAAGGGTGTTTTAGTAGGTGCTTTTAAGTGTGACTTCATATCCATCAGAAATTTTCAAACACTGACCTCCATCTCCTTTGGGAAATCACTTTATATAAAATATTAAAGCTTTTTAATTGTCACACGATTATTCACTAGAGTCAACACCATACTATGAAATGGACTAAAGAATGGTAGCTTGCCAGATCTGCTCAAATGGACTCTGATCAATATTTTGCTTTTTTCAAAAAAAAAAAAAAAAAAAACTGTTTCCATTTGGTAAATACTTGTTTCCATTTTGTCTTTGAAGATAATTTTTTTCAGATTTATCTCTAGTTACTTCATAAATACTAAAATCCATCAAGTAGTTTTAAATTAATTCTAAATCCTAAGTATTAAGAAAGGAATGCATTTCACTAGTCCAATCATCTTGCCTACCCCTGCTACTGAAATATATGCCCCTGTACATTTCAACACAGAAACACTTACTGAATAAGATTGCTGGAAATAAAGGCAAAATTGAGGAAGCAGAACACTCCCACTTACCACAAATAAAAGAAGTCTCATCTGAATTGTCAGCACAGTCATTCACAAAATCACACAGCCTGTCCTTCGCAATGCAGTGCTTATTAGCACACGTGAATTCTTGAGCAGTGCATTTTCTGTCTGGGCTGGGTAAGGGTGAACAATTTTGAAAGGAAACATCATCCACTGCTACATCGCCCATGTAACTGACACCACGTTTTGCCCTGAAGACGATCTAAGAACAAAAAGAAAATGTCAATTGGAGGTGAAGCTGTCAAACAAGATGTTCAAAACTTGGAGCAAGAACTTAATATTAAAATCAAAATTCCACCTGACAACCACCAAAAATGTTCCCATACTGAATGTGACCCACGAGAAGTTAGGGGTCAAAGTTTACCATTTTCAACACCTAAAAATGGGAATGTGGCAATACAATTGTCTTACATTTAGCATTTTTAGGATACAGGGTCAATAAAATTGGCACCAGTCAACAACCCACACTGATGCCCCTGCTGTCTCTAGATCCAACACAGGGTCTGCAGATTCCTTAGAGCCTCATCACACAAGGAAGCAGCTCAATCAGTCGAAATGAATTAGAAGAAAAAATATACAAGCACATCCTTTATTTCACTCAATTCTTCCCACTCTTGAGGTCCATGCCCACCTGAATAGTTTGAAAGCTCAAAGATGGCAAAACTCAATACCATGAGATTTTTTTTTGTAAATTGGCCACATCTTTTGAATTTAAATGACTTTGGTTAGTCTTTGATTAATGTATGTGATAGACATAATCCTCATATGTCATGTTACCTGGCCTCAATTTCCCACATACGTGACTTGGCAGAAGTAATGAAAAATAATGAATCACTGAAGCTTTCAACAATCCTATCTTTATTTTGTAACAATACCACTGCTTGGATCAACAGTGGACACTGTTCATGGAACTGAAGTCTCATTATTAGGTTTATGAGATCTAAATGGAATTACTTCATTGTCTCCATGACATTCCATTAAAAGTTAAAACATTAACACATGACATATTCATAGATTTCAAAGAAAACTTGGATCAAGCGTACCTTAGCTATTTCATACAAAATATTTACTGATACCAATCTCCTAAACCCCTCTTGATCAATCCTAAGTAACTTTTTCTTGAAAGAATTTAAAAATGACATATAATTTATACTACTATGCAAGTTAGTATTATTTCCCTTTTAAAGTGAGAGGGCAGTATAGTTAAAATTGTGCCTTCCATATAAGAGTTGGAGAACTCAAAAGGCTTCCACAGCCTTGGAAACTCATGACTGGAGCATAGGGAGATTACTGATGCCATAGACAGGAGTGTCAATTTGTTAAGTCAACAACAGGAGTCACTGTGCACTTACTCCTCATGTAGGATCTCTGTCCTTAATGTGCTGGACATTGAGATTTAATGCTATAACGAGTACTCAAACAGTATTTTTCATTTTGTGTTTCTATGTGGGTGCAAACTGTTGAAATCTTTACTTAATATATGCTAAACTGATTTTCTGTATATATAGAAAATTGAAAATGAATCTTTTTTTAAGTTCTCTGCTGTCCATTTTTTTATTGTTTTTTTAACTTTTATTTAATGAATATAAATTTCCAAAGTATGGCTTATGGATTACAATGGCTTCCCCCCCATACCGTCCCTCCCACCCACAACCCTCCCCTTTCCCACTCCCTCTCCCCTTCCATTCACATCAAGATTCATTTTCGATAGTAGTGTATCTTTCTTGTTGTAGAATAGTGTTACCCGCTCTCCTGGCCCAAATTCTCTTCTAAGACAGGGTGTAGTCCTCTTTATTCTTCTTAGTTTCACATTGAGAGTTTTCACAATGAGAAAGATACACTACTATTTGAATAATCTGAACATTTAACTCATCAGCTTTTCACTATGAAGTATTTCTATCCAGTAGTCAAAAGTTTAGCTGTCTGCCATGTCCAAGTGATGTTGACTGGAATTCCATAATTAATACTGATTACTGTGAAGTATTTTTTAAGAAGAAAAATGATGATGCATCTTTTTCAGGTAGAATAAAATCAGATACATATTTTACATAAGATTTGGCAGTAATATGCATAACAATTGGACTGTAGACTATGTAGACTCTGGATGGCTGCCTGTGTTTAAAGTCTGTCTCTGCCATTTTGTAGTTACATAAACTAGGGCAACTTACATAACTTCAACATAGTTCTCCATAGAGATAACAGTATATGCCTCATAGGATTATTCTGAAAACAAGACTTTTAAAGTTTCAAGCAATATGTAGCACTCAGTATGTAGTAATTGCTTTAGATGTGATTGCACCAATTATAAAAAAAATCGATTAAATATTTAAATTTGAGTTTTCCCAAATAAAACAATTCAAGTTTCCTAGTGATGTTTTGGCATGCAATGTCTAAAAATAAATTATGCTTTTTCTTAACGGTTGGAAACATTCTCTGAGGCTAAAGGTAACACTGTTTTAAGAATGGAGGAAGAATCAGCAGTGTGGGGACTCATCTCTGTATCTACTGGGCAAGTGTAATGTACTTGGCACATAGCAAGGTCTCAATTTTTTACTATAGAAATGAGTGACCCACATCAAACAGTGAATGTCCACTAGCTATTAACATTTGGTTTTAACTTTCTAGCAATGTGGATATACTTTTTCATTCAATTTCAACATGTGAAAAGCTAAAATTGTGGAAATGTTAAGTAATTTATTCCACACATTGAAGCTCCCCTTAATGTTATTTTGAACATGATTTCACTATAAACATTCAAGCATGCATCACTTAACAATGGGGATACATTTTGAGAAATGCATCACTAAGCAATGTCATTGTTGTGGGAACATCAGAGAGAGTGCTTACACAAACTAAGCCATGACATTGATAGGCAATATAATTCCAAAGGCCACCATCATTTACATGTTCCATCATTGACCTAAACATCACTATGCAGCACAGGACTGTATTCTATGTGCACAGAACTAGTTACGGAGGTCACTACCCAGTGTGCAACCCTACCCCTGACAGCAGCAGAGATCTCCACATGTTCTTGCTGAGGATTCTTCCTGTCTAAATTTAAAGCTCCTAGAGACTAAAGAGTTATAATCCTTCTAATAGTAAAATTCTTACTGTGTAAGGCCATTAAATTAATGTATAATTTCTTCAAATTCAACTTATTTTTATCTACTTCAATTTTCTGCAAATCATTCACAGGTAAACTAGATTGCAGTGAAAGGCAACATATATATACACACATATGTGAATGGGATTTCATATTCCTGTCACTCCAAGAAACCAGCCATAATGCTGGGTCAATGCCTTTATGCAGTTCTATGCAATCTATGTGTCCATGGCAGTTGAAAGGGGCTGACATGTCAGAGAATGTTCACAATTGCTCATGTACTTACTAAACATTCAAAATCAACTTGCTATTCCTGTTACACATGCAGAACAGTGGAAATGCAGTTTTTAACAAGCATCTTATCCATTCTAACTAGAGATGATTATTTCTAAATTCATGAAATTAAGCCTAAAAATTAAAAAATAAAATATTTTCTATTTAAAAGGCTCTTACTTTGCTTATTCAAATTTTAATTCTAAGTCTTATCTTCAAAGAAAATTCCCAACAAAACCACAGCCCATATATCCCTTCCTTTTTTCATAATCCATAAAAAAATAGAACCCATACCAAATACCTTGGCACATTATTATTTTGATTTTAAATATTTTAATTACTATACTACTTGAACTTTATTTTATGTGTATAGTTCTCATCCTACCAATAATATAATACATGGAGACAAATATGGTATCACATATTATTATATTTCTAAATATTCTGAATTAGGTAAATTACCTATAATGAAGTTCAATCACACACTGTTTTCACACACTGCCTTTTCAATCAGGTTTGAAATAATTTAATTACTCTACAGTCTCAGAATATACTTGCCAAATAGAGCAAAGTATAGAAAGCTAATGCAGAGGGAAGACGATTGCTGCTCAATTTAAATATTCCAAGAAGTATTATTATCTAATTCTAAGAAATTAGATCATTCTAGAATTCTAAGTTCCTGAGGGAAAACCCCACCTGTAATGTTGTCTTAAGTCTATGCATTCATATTTCACGATAGAAAGGGGATGGCAGGACAGGACTGGAGTGAAGGAAATAAATCAAGATTAAGAGGGGTGGAGAATCTTCCTCCTCACATAACCAATTAAAATTACAAACCTGTGTGTACAAATGAGTGCCTAAAAACACTTCCACTTTCTTCCACTGTGCACCCTGCCGGCCAGTCTGAGCCCAAAGTTTAGAAGTAACGTTGCCTTTCTTAATGAGCACCTATGGAGACAAACGAGGTAAACAAAGTTGAAATATTTTCAATAGTTTTCTAAGTGATTGTCAAGAACTTGAATATCCACATGATGTTGCTGAGATAAGAGCTGAGAGTCTTCATTAAGCACTTTTTTTTTTCTTTTTGACAGGCAGAGTGGACAGTGAGAGAGAGACAGAAAGGTCATCCTTTGCTGTTGGTTCACCCTCCAACGGCCGCCGCGACCCGCACCGCGCTGATCCGATGGCAGGAGCCAGGTGCTTCTCCTGGTCTCCCATGGGGTGCAGGACCCAAGCACTTGGGCCATCCTCCACTGCACTCCCGGGCCATACCAGAGAGCTGGCCTGGAAGAGGGGCAACCGAGACAGAATCCGGCGCCCCGACTGGGACTAGGACCCGGTGTGCCAGCACCACAGGTGGAGGATTAGCCTATTGAGGCGCAGCGCCGGCCAAGCACTTTTGTTTTGTACCATAAATTAGGGCATTTGTGCTCCCAGAGAATCCTACAAGCCTTATGTAATAAGGGTATACAGTGTTGCTAGTCCCAAGATATATATGTTAGCTAGTCCAATCTAATTAAGAACTCAACTATATTACATTTTTAAAAAGCTTATAGTAGTAGCAATTGATATTTTATGAGATATTATTTGTATCATTAGATGATGAATAATGGAGTTTCATACTAAAATGCTCTTTTGAGAATGACCTTCATTATTCTATGTGTTTCAATGGGCTTTAATATTACAGTGTGAGCCCATTCAACTTTAACAGCTCAGATGGGTGATATTAGTGGACATCCATCTGTACTGGGACTCTAGGAGCCCCCCGTCCAAGAGCCTTGGAGCCAACATAACCACATTAGTACCAGCAAGAGGAATTCAGATCTGTCTTATCAGCCAAATTATCACAGGTCTTCTTTAAGACTGAAAAAAGCCATCAAGAGCACAATTGAAATAGTAAACAGAAAAATCTCACAGTGTAAAAAGATGGCTTATTATTTCACAGAATTGCTTTACTTTTTATTTATAAAAAGGGGACGAATTTCATTAATTTTATATATACAGTTGTAAGAGAATAATGATACTTCCCACCTCACTCCCACCCTCCCTCCTCCTTCTTTTCTCATTTTCTTTTAATTTTCTAGTGACATACTTTCAATTTACTTTACAATCACAAGTTTAACCCTCTCCTAAGTAAGGGATTAATAAAGTAGTAGGTAGAAAAACCACAGATGCCCCAGAGTATGGAAAGGACTATAACAATAATAAAATCTCAAAAAGTCAATTTTGCTCATACACACCATATATTTTGTACTTTCCATATCAGGGAAAACATGATATTTCTCTTTCTAGGACTGTCTTATTTCACTAAGTATAGCAGTCTCCAATTGCATTCATTCTGTTGACAAAGACAGGATTTCATTCTTTTTTATGGCTGAGTAGTAATCTATACTATATGTAAATATATGTATACACACATATGTGTATTTAATTACACACATATACAATTTATCTGGTCATCAGTTTATGGTCATGTGAGTTGATTCCATATTTTAGCTATTGTAAATTGAGTTACAATAAACACAGAGATACAGATAGCTCTTTCATATGCTGATTTCATTTCATTTGGGTAAGTTTCCAGGAGTGAGATGGCTGAGGCATATGGTATTTCTATTTTTTGATTTCTGAACAATCTTCATAGTTTCTTCCATGATGGCTATACTAGCTTACATTTCTACCAATAGTGCATGAAGGTATCTTTTTCCGCCACATCCTTGCCAGTATGTTACTTGACTTTTAGATGATAACTATTCTAACTGGGCTGAGGTGAAACTTCAGCGTGGTTTTTATTTTCATCTGCCTGATGACTAGTGATCCTGAGCATCTTTTCATCTGTTTTAGGCCATTTGAATTTCATACCTTAAAAAATGCCTGTTCATATCCTTAGCCTGTTTCTTAACTGGATTGCTTGTTTTGTTGAGTTTCTTGAGCTCCTTATATAACAAGGATATTAGTCCTCTACTGTGTAATTTGCTAATATTTTCTCCTATTCTGTAACATGCCTCTTTGTTGAGAATCTACTTTGCTGTGCAGAAGCTTCTTAGCTTGATATAATCCCATTTGTCTATTTCTGCCTTTATTGTGTGCGCCTTGGGGTCTTGCCCAGAAGTCTTTGCCTATGCCAATGTCTTACAGAGTTCTCCTGATGTTCTCCATATTAGTTGGTTGCAAATGTGTGAATTTCAAGGGTGTCTAATATATTCCATTTGTCCACCTGTCTATTCTTGTGCCAGTACCAGGATGTCTTGATTAAAATGATCATGTAATATGTCTTAAAGTATGGTGCTGTGATGCCTCAAACTTTATTTTTATTGTTTAAGATTGCTTTAGCTATTCAGGGTCTCTTGTGATTCCATATAAATTTATGGGTCATTTGCTCTAGATCTAAGAAGAATGTCTTTAGTATTTTGATTGGGATCACATTGAATCTGTAAATTGCTTTGCGTAATATGGACATTGTGATGATTTCAATTCTTCCAATTCATGTATATGGAAGACTTTTACATTTTCTGGTGTTTTCTCATATTTCTTTAACATTCTGTAATTTTCATTGCAGAGAACTTTCACATCTTTGGCTCGATTTCTCTCAAGGTATTTAAATTTTTGCAGCCATTTTGAGCGGAGCTGATTTTACAGGTTGCTTCTCAGTCATGGCTATACTTGGCTGTCCCTGTCCTTCTGCAAAACACATACTTTTGGTCATTTTATATATAACTCTGTAGATCTCAAACACTATTTTTAGTTTTTCTAATTTTTATGGCATATTTCCAAATATTTTCTCCTACCTCTGATATTCTTTCTGCCTCACCAAATCTGTTAAGGTTTTCCACTACATTTAACATATTGAATTATTTACTTCTAATATTTAAGTTTGATTTTTCTAATCTACCACCCAGAAAAATCACATATCTATGCTGTGTATGGATTTCACTCATGTATTTGCTTCTGTGTTTTTGAGTAATCTTATGATAATTTTTTTTGAATTCCTTTTCATGCCTCTCATCAATCTCTGTTTTCACATTCTAATATTAAAGTGTTGTTGTGTTCCTTTTAGGAATCATATTGTCTCCTTTCTCAATGTTTCTTATAGTTCTACTTTTAAATTTAGGCTTTAGTGGGAACACCTGTTGATTTTCTCATCTGAGAGCTCTTAGCTTAGTGGAGTGCTTGCTCCTTCATTGGATACCCAGAAGCATGTACTGGGTAGGGAAAGGGAGCTCAGGCCAGTGTTCTAGAGTGGGGGAACAGTTCAGAGTTACACACATGTTGGGCAAGGTAGAGTTCCTTTATGATCAGCAGAGTGGAAGGTACGATTGCATCTGCTGGCATGATCACAGCCTCAGCCCATCTGCCAAGGTGAGCCAAATGACAACAGTGCTTTTTAAAGATTGTGAAACTAAGATTTTTTTCCAATTAAAAGGTTATGAATCTCTTGACTTTTAAAATTCCAAGTAGTATATAAAGGTTTTTTCTATTTTAACAAAATTCAGGTGAATTATATTATAAAATTAGTTTCATAGTCCTATAAAATTATGCGGATAACAAAAGTGTCAAACTCTTGATATATAAAATCCAGTGTATTTCAACAGTTAGCTAAGTCAAGAAAATATAAATTTTTTACAAAAAAATTGAAAGCATTTGAGGGATACTGAAAGGAATGATTAGGAAGTATATTTTTGTATGAATACCACACTACAATTCAAGTCCTATGTTCAAGCAATATATCAACATTTCATTTAGCCACATAAAAATGATATCATTTAATTATCATTTTAATGATATGTATCATTTTAATTATTTCATAATTGCTTATGAAGTATCAGTGTTTTATAATTTTTTATCTACCAATACAAAATTTTATTCTGAACAAAATTCAAAGATATTTCAGAACATTTAATCTTGGCCACCAAATATACTAGGATAAGTAATTTTCCTAATGATAAACCAATGGCTAGTTATGCTGACTGTTGGGACTAAAATCATTTCAAAAAGCTAATGTACAATAAATACATATAACTTCAACTCCCAAGTCTACCTGGATACATTCATATTATTAACACATATACTCACACACACAATTGTACTTTTATACTGGTTTTGGGTAAAAAAAAGTTTATCTATCTTAAGGGTGACAATTCTATAATTTATCTACTTATTTAATGTCCAATATTTTAAAAACCATTTTAAAAAATACCCTTTCTAAAATTTGGAAAAAAGCAATATTTAATAATGGTCAATTCTAGACTGCAACAATAACAAAACGGGAAGGGAATATATAACATTAAAATTCCAATCAAGCAGTGGACTTAGATGTGGTTAGGTAGTTGGCCTGCCATTCACTTCTCTTTATTGGGGAAACAGGAGGCAGGTAACCCAAGTATCATCTCAATTCAAATAGATCAAACTTTTAGCAAAAAGTTAAATAGGATGGTGGGCAGGGATCAGCATCTATAGATTGCTTCTAGGAAGAAATTCCTAGCCTACAACCTCTAAGGTTCTGGAATTTAGGGGTTTTTTTCTTTTTATTTAATAAAGATAAACTTCCAAAATAAAGCTTATGGATAACAACGGCTTTTTCTCCCCCATAACTTCCCTCCCACCCACAACCCTCCCATCTCCCGCTCCCTCTCCCATTCCATTCACATCAAGATTCATTTTCAGTTCTCTTTATATACAGAAGATCAATTTAACATATATTAAGTAGAAATTTCAACAGTTTGCAACCACACAGCAACATAAAGTGTAAAATACTGTTTGAGTACTAGTTATAGCATTAATTCACATTGGACAGCACATTAAGGACAGAGATCCTACATGAGGAGTAAGTGCACAGTGACTCCTGTTGTTGACTTAACAATTTGACACTCTTGTTTATGGCATCAATAATCACCCTAGGCTCCTGTCATGAGTTGCCAAGGCTATGGAAGCCTTTTGAGTTCGCCAACTTC